GGAGAGAACCCACGCTGCACGGGGAGAACATGCAAACTCCACACAGAAAGATCTCGGGTGTCCTCACAAGGATGTGAACCGGCGACCTTCTTGCTAACCACTGCTCCACCTTGCAGCCCAACCGTTAACATAAAATACTAAAATTATTGTATTAGTCCGTCTAGTTTATAGAGTACCTTCAATATGCAGTTGCTAAATGCTCAAAGTAAATAGACTTATACAAAGATTAAAATTACAGACATGTATTTTTTACTCTTAAGTCATTTTTCTGTTTGTACTGCTGTGTAACTTCGTGCTACTTCTGTCTTGCTCAAGACTTTGGATCTTTTGTTTTTGCAAGTTAAGTGTCATGCAGGAAGAGTACTTGCTAAGAAGCTCTGGATCTCCATTCTCTGAAGTGGGCCTAAGAGTTTTCTTCTTCCTCTGTGGTCTTCTTATCTGCATTTCTTTGCTCTAACTGTTTCCTCTGTTATCTGGCCTTCCCCTCTATAGAGGCCTATAAGTCTTCCTGACCTTAGCATCAGTATCCATTTTTCTGTCTTCTTTGACAGCTCAATATAACACGCTTGGATCTTTAGACAACAAACTTTCCAAACCAAAGCCTTACAGCAGCTTAAGCAGAAACGTTGACATTTTCAAATAGTTTGATCACACATTTTGTTTAACAGGTCTCCTTTGTGTTTCTAAAGGAATGTCCACCCAGTCTTTGAGGGAGCCTGTAAATGTAGCTCAGTCCCAGGACACTGGTTTACAGGCCAGCTCAGCGCAGACCCACAACTCACAAAGACACACTGCTTCTTCTGGCATTCACTCCCAGGGTGAGACAGAGCACTAATTATTCTGAATTTAGGACCCCTTTCACTCCGTGTTGTGCTGTGCTGTATTTCGGGTTTGTGATTAATCTTTCTGTGGTTGGTGAACAAGCTTTATGTACACATCCTTTACTAGATTCCTCTCCCAGAAGTCTGGCAAAAGAGACGTTTGCACATCTAGACATAGATATAAAAGGAATGTAAACACTTCAAAGCTTGTCTTTGAGGGACCAGCCTGACATTTTGGAAAAAAAGGCTTATTCTGTTTCTTGTTGAGAAAATAGATGCCACTGTCATGTTTGTCTATTAAGTTAACAGCAAAAAAAAAAAAGAAAGAAAAAGAAAAGAAAAAGAAAAAAACTGAATAAAAAACAAGGAACATAGCAAACCTTGGCTCAAAGGTAGCAAATTCTGCATAGCAGCACCTCTGAAGTTCACTGTTAATAATCTGTATTTTGTTTGTTTAACTCTCAAATCCATGAGTGTCTTTAAAACCCAGCACTTACATAAGGTAGATTAAGTCATACATTAAAATCATATTGTTTGTAGCCTTTTGAGAATATATTAACAATAGACACTCCAAGAATCTTTGTGTGTTTTTAAATTTATTTCTGCTGTTCCTCACACCTTTGACACCAGTTAGTCAGCAGTCAGTAATTGCGACATGGTTATTTTTCTCTTAGAAGTTCTAATCTGACATATGTAGACCACTGTGCCATTCTGGTTCTGGTTTTAAATGATCTGGTCAATGATGTAGTTCCTCACCCCAGCATCAGGTACACAGATGGTAACATCAATAGCCTTTGATAGCTGTTTAGCCCTTTTCCAGTTATTGTGCTCAGCTGACTGACATATTGGCTGTCGCTTCATACTGATCAGATCAGATATTTAAGCACTTTCATTCACTTTATCCTCATTTCCTAACAGATAGTCAACATATGAAGGAATCTGCTCAGCCTACACATATCACCGTCCCTTCAATTTCAGGTAACATCTCAATGTAACATTATAGTTAGAATGCGTGACAGGTTATGTCACATCAACTCCATCCATCTGTGGCTCTTTTATTCCCCCAGAGGAGCAGTGGACAAGGCTGCTGGAGCTTTCACCTCTATTCCAGCTACTGAAGGGGGTGGAGCTGCAGCTGAAGGGCTGGGCCTGTAAGGCAGGGATTGTTAGTGGAGAGTTCGCTGGTGAGTTGGATACATTTGAGTTGCCTATTTTTGACTGAATGATGGTGCTACAGGCACCAGCTGTATGCATACATCCACATATTAGTTTACGGGTCCCATCATGCTTGTTTGCTTGTTTTTTTCTGTTCAGGAATGCAAGTAAATAATTATAATTTGACATCTTAATCAAGAAATAGTAATGTTCTCTGCTGGGTTTTTTTTTTTGTAAAACAGTAAATTTGAAAATCCATGGATCATAATAACATTATGTTTTAGCATTAAAAATATCCTTTCGGTTCAAGAGCTTCTACATACGGGTGAATTAACCATTACACAAAAAAATAATTAATTATTAATTACCAATGCTGTTAATTTAGGGCAGCTGTGGCATAAACCTTACACTGGGTGGTGGTGTAATACATTTATTAAGCACCGTATATACATTCACAAGTTATAGAATAAATAGATTCATCAGTATGACCAATTCAATTTTTCCTCATGCTAATATGCTCCATAATTTATTTATTTATTTATTTTTAAACATGAGTCACCTTATCACAAATGCCTTGCACATATCTTAACTTGCCTATATTGCCGACAATTAATTAAAACCTACCTTTAATTACTATGTGCTGTCAGTTAATTCGTGCTCACAGTCTTGCTCACATTCACACCCACAGGGGAGGCTGGAGTGATATTGATTTTGGGTGATATGATCCGGCCCTTATTGACAGTGATGCATTGGGTGGTATGCATGAGAAGAGCCTGAAAGAGATATACAGTGCCTGGCTCCTCAGGAAGGTGTAGGGGGGGCAGGGTTTACAACGTTATTTGACCGTATGATATGCATTGTGCCATAAATCCTTTTACAGACTCTGTTTACTGTAAGTTACGGTGCACTTGTGAGAAGGGCTACATAACATTGTTGAAGCAGATTTCACAACAGTCTCCACTGTTTTTTTTTAGCTGCTCTTGATGAAGCCCAGGTGACAGATGTTTTCTGCAAGTGTTCAGGCACATGTTAGTTTGACTTTAGGGATTCCAGGTTTAGTTAAACAACTTTCATCAGACCTGTCTTTGAGAGGCGCTGTGATATGATGCAGCAGAAAAGCAGATGCTTGTCTTTTATTAACTATGCTACCGCGGATGACCCGGGGATTGCGATGTAATGTTTTGAATCAAAGCGGATGGGGTGGCCTAGCAGTTTTGTGAGGATGCAGTCCTTAAAAGGTTGAGGCCAGCTGACCTTGGTGATCCTTTGCCTTTTATTTTGCTCAGGATTCTCACATATGTGGCTTTAATTAAAAATACTTTTTAGCTGGATTCTTACACAATTTGGAACAAATATGAATGTTTCCCAGAGAATGATTTCAATGGATGCTTGATCTTTTATCTAGTATCATCACTGGGTTCCAGTTTAAATTTGTCCAATATTTTAGTTACTGAACACCACCAGTAAAGCTAAAACAGCCTCAGCTGTTCTTATGTTTGCTGTAGTGCCAGTCAGTTAATGCAGCATGCACTATAACATCCCAAAACTTTATCTGCAAAGCATCTTCAGTTTAGCATAGTCATTTTGGAATTTAAATGCGTGACAAGTCGGGTGTTGGTCAAAAGGTGATCCCTTTGGTCAGTCAGTGAGGGGTGAATGAAGGTTTCTGCAAACACACAGGTAAGAGAGTTGCATGAGTTGGTAAGGAGATGTCTACCTCCAGTCTCTCCCATAATAAACAGACTGCACTCACTGCTGCTCCTGTGGTGCTCATAAGCAAAGAAAAAACAAAAAATATCAGAATAATAAGCAGGCAAGAAGTGTGAGTACACAGATCTAGTCCAACTCACAAGCATAAAGCTTCATGCTACTTCTTGAGGGGAAGACATCCTAGGAAGTACAAGGCCATACTGTAGGTGGTATAGATAATAAAGCACATTAAAACAAAACAAGTCAACACACACCAAAGCAATACAACAACACAAAGAACAGGTAAATTAAATCAGCAAACAAAAAGCAAGCAGCAAGCAATGACAGTGCAGTATCTAAAGGTTAGTTAGTTCACCGTCGACTGCCATAGCAGAAAACTGCAATTATCTTGGCTGTCTTGTGGATAAATGCGCCGCCCCAACTCAGTGCCGTGGGTTCAGCACTCTGGAACAATGGCCTTCTTGGAAAGACGACCTAAAAGATTAGTGTGCTGTGAGGGTAAAACACAGAGCAAGCAATAGCTGTAGCGAGAGGTCCGCTGAACAGTAGATTACATTGTAATTGTTGTAGGAAGAGAGCATGTACCCGGGAAGCTGTGCATATACCCAAGAGAATCCCCGGACAAACCTAACAGAGCATGCATTTGGCTATAAGGCCTAGGTGTGCATTAATTTGGAAGGACATCCACTTCCAGTCATTCAGATTGGTTACAACAGAAAAAAAAAACAAAAAACATTTAAATTATTTTTCAGTACTTAAGCCTTTATAGGACACTTCTTGAAGTACTTGAAAAATGAAAATTTCAACCCTAGGATGTTATTGAAGGATTTTTCAAGATATTTTTTTACTTTTGTGACTTAAAGCAAAAAAAAAAAAGGTAAATCAAGATTAATACAGTTACCATGTATAGTAAACCGTCTACAGTTTAAAAAATGGAATTCATAAAAATAAAAGAAAAAGTAACAAACTGCAAAAACATTTATTTAGAAACATTTTAGTTTGAAGTAATGATTCTCACACAACCACTAACAAAGTATTTATAAAGTGCTTGGCAAGTTCATTTTTTGTAAGGTAGTGATATTGGCACTAATATAAAAACTAAATCACAGTGTACATGTTTCTTCAACCTCAAGGAGAGGCACAGGGTGGACATATTGAACATCCAAGGAAGTTACCAAATATGATCACTTGCCCCATAAAAGGTTAAAAATCAGTTATTAGGTTTCTGGACACAGCAACCAGAAAAACTGGAACATTTATCAAACCCAGTAATCTCCAGGTGCCAGCTTTGATGTGCATTGTGCACTTTTGTCTGTCTCGTAAGAAAAGCTGAATGATTATGGACTTTGCTTTGCCACATACTGCTTTGTTTGCTGCTGCTGCTGTGGCACACAAAGTAATGTTCAGTGGTTCAAGTCAACAGCAGCATTGTAATTAAAAGGACCATAATATGACATGATACCATCCTGTGTTATGTCCAGACAGAGGCAAAAGTTTCTTAGATGTCCTTGATGCTCAGTGGGAATGTGAGGGAGAGTTGATCCCTTTGGACCTGTCAGTCCTCAAGCCCAGAGAGTTCCTGGTCTACCAGCACGGACTATTCCTGATGCGTACGCTGCACAATCTAAAACTGGTTGGTGCCGAAGTCTCACTCTTGCTTTCAGCCTTGTTGCCTGCTGTATTCATTTTTAAATTGCTTTCTGTTTAACTGTGTGTCAGGTGAGTAGGCTCCAACCTGCTGTGACTCTGTAAAGTATAAGTGGTCAGAGTTAATGGACGGATGAGGTCTTTGCTTTGTGGCTTCGAGTGGTTTGGCCGCAAGCAATCTTTTATACTGTAATTTCTTATGTTCCTCTCTAAAGCTTCAAGCACTCAGACAGAAACTTTCTAACTGTCCCTGTATTCCTGCTAAAGACTGAGGCTGACTTGGCCTTTCATGTGAGGACTCAATTTAAGCTTTCACGGGGTGGCTGTGGTTCAGGTGGTAGAATGATTCGGTTAACGATTGGAAGGTCGGTGGTTCGATTCCGCCCTGTAACCTGTGCCATGGTCGTGTCCTTGGACAAGACACTTCACCCATCTTGCCTGGTGTGGATGCGTATGAATGGATTGTTTGCGGTGGGCACAGAATGGCAGCCATGCCTCTGTCAGTCTGCCCTGGGGCAGCTGTGGCTACAATCGTAGCTACCGCCACCGGAATGCATCTGTGTGAATGAATAATTGACAGTGTAAAGACAGTGAGTGTCTAGAAAAGCACTATATAAATCTGATCAATTATTAGTTCTTATTATTAAACTAATTCTTAATATACTCTCACATCTATTGCTTTACTTGTGTTTTCTTGTTGTATTTTCTGGTTGTGTACATATTTATTTCATATTCTCTGATGTTACTGAAATGTGTATATGTAATTATTTATTTTTTTCTGTGGAGTGAGCTTCAGAAGTCATATTATAATATAAAAGGCTTGGATCATCATTATCTTTTCCAACAGACTCCAGCCATTTCACTTCAGATAGCAGCAAGTCTCCCAAACAACAACTATCTCAACAACGCCTTCAGAAACTCCTTCTTTTATCAGGTACACTTAAAAAATCGTAAAAATCTAGTTAGAGATTTCCGTTATGCTTTTCAGTATCAGTGCAGCAGCTCCGTTGTGTGTTGACGAGATAATTAAATACTTCTACAGTATTAGCCAATGAAATCATGTTATGCATATAAAACCTGACAAACAAATAGACAACACATATTAAATGAAGCATGTTGTTGGTGCATGAGTGACAGTAATTAAATATTATAAGATATATTAACACTCTGCTTTATAACAAATACCTCTACATTTTATTCTTTAGGCACACATGGCTATTTAGACTAATTTTCTTTTACTTAGGTTACATTCTGAGTGAAAGCAATTCTTTTGATGGAGCTTCTTAATTTGCTACTTTCACTTAAGTAAAGCATTAGAATAACTCTTTAACCACTCTGAAAAATTATAACTTTATGTAGATGATGAGTGATGAAAGATTTGTTACATTAAAAAGATGAAGGCACTGCATGAAAAAACGAGAAATGATGGAAAATGGGGAAACGGTATAAGCAGCAGCGAGTAGGGAATCGGAGAACAAAGCCCCAGCATTTTCATCGTCGCACTGACCAAAGTTTCTTTGTCCTTGACTATAAGAGCAAAACAACTCAGACAACTCCTCCACAACACAACATCCTCTTCAGCCCTGCTGGTCTCTAGACAGAAAAGCCTTCAGCACTCCTCACAGGAAATAAAGGGTCCAAGTAAAAGAACCCACAAGCAGAAAGTAACTTTCAGTCTTCCCTGCACAGGCTTAAGGTTCTAAAGTTTGTTTTGGGTTTGGTTTCTCAGTCTGAGGCGCTTACTGGGTTTAAAGTGTTACACTTCTTAGCTCACGAAGGACAAAGCTGCAGACTATCGGTAACTATGGGTTTGAAACATCAAAAGTATATTTCACATCCTCTTCTTTGTTAGTATGGCACAAAGAAAGGTTTAATTTGCATAACATGCAACTGCAGCTTCCACCTGGAAGGGCATTTAACCGATGCATTATTATTTATTCTTTTTTATTGAACCCAAACGTTTCAACTGAAGTTAGACACACAGGTATTAGAAAAGTAGACACTTCCTCTTCTTGCCCATTTAGTGTTTCCTCATCTGTACATTTCAGTCCGCCATAAGTGACTACAATGTCAATAGTTTAAATCTCTTTCCTGATGGTCAGACAAACCATCGTAAACATCATCAAATGTGGTGCCATGCTTGCTTTTTATCAATCAATAATGCATGTGGGGGGTTTTGTGCAGCTCTATTATGTTGCTGGGAATAACTCTTACATGCATGTTGACAGGAGGCAGAGGAGACACTGTTTGTCCGTCGCCAGAGGCTCCAGTCAGTTGGAGGCTTCTCTCTCCTGCTCCTCCATTGTCTGTCCCATGTCAAAGTTAAAGACATGAGCTCTGACTCCAGTCCTGCCTTCCAGAGGCTTTTCTTCCAGGTACAGACAAATGTGTGGAGATGTGTGCAGAAATTAAAATATTATAGTTGCTTGGTATCAAATCAAACTTAAAATGAACAGACCTGTTAAATTCAAGCATTGTTTTTTTGTCTCACTCTTGGTTGCATGACTATTAGCAGAATTAATTTTTTGCTTTTGTTGTTAAATTGTGTATCACAGACACTGCAGGAGAGCCTGGGGGAGCTATTTCAGGCCAGACTGGGCATATCCTACTCTGGACAGGAAGCCAATGTGTCTGTTTGGTTTCAGGACCAAGAGGCTCCCCAAGGGGACTTAAAGGAATCTTGGTCAGACTCTCATGCCGCCTCTCTGCTGCACAGGCTTCACAAACCAAGCAGAGGATTGCTGTCTGAGGATGTAAGGACAGAATATTTCCTATTACTTATTTGTGACTGTTTAAATAGAAGCATGGCTCTTGGTTGTTTTATCTGCGTGTCAGCATCATATTCATATGCAGCATACGTTCATACGTATCTCATATATTCATAAGTAGCCAGAGCCACGCTGCATTTTTTTTTGTCATGTGTCTGTTTGTGATTATGCAACAGGAAGTTGAGAAGCTTAAGAAGAAGTACAGAGAGACATCTGTGTTCTCCCATCTTGAAGGACTTTTGAGAGAAAAGAGCTCTGAAGTTGGAGGAAAAGGCGATGACCAGACTGAGTAAACATTGTATGTTGTTTCTGTGACTCTTGAAAGTTTCAAAATCTGAATCTCTTTAAAGAATAAACAAAATGGAACAAATGAAGACTAAAATGCTCTAAATTGCCACCAGGCGCCAAAGAATAACACATGTTTGAAAAGTCAAGAGAAGTCATGCAAACAGAAATATTTAACAGAAAGGCAGTGACATTTAGCACTAACCACTATCAGATTGTTAGATTTTTAGTTTGGGATTTTTTTATGGGGGTGTTTCAGAGAATAACAATGACTTTCACCCTAAACAGATTTCTAAGTCCTCTCATAAAACACATTTTCCAACATCATTTCACATGTGTTTTATTATGTGTTATTTTGTCAAATCAAACATGACAAGCTTACTAAATAAAATAAAGTTTTCAAAATTTTGACTCAAGGCAAGATTATGAATGTTGTGACTTGCTCAGTCCAATAATTTTGAAGAGTAGATGGTTGTTTTAATCATTTCCCCCATGTTGTTATAATTTTACATCTTGTGTGAGGAAATGTACCCAAATAACATAAAGTAAATGTAACTGTGAGTCAATACGCCAGCGTGTATACAGTAACTGTGACTTCTGCATCCAGTCTTTGAACATTATGGTATCCACTTTAGTTTGCTGCCCCTTTTTAAGTGGATGGTACAAGCACTAAGTGAACCCATTTTTTTGTTTTTCCTTGTCAGATTTGTTTTGTAATCAATCATCACACAAAACCATTCATGTTGCAGGGTTTAGTTTTTGCAACATAACAACATAACAAGTAACAATGTAAAGCAGATTTAACTTTCTCCTTGGACAACTTGGGCTTTTACAAGCCCTCAGCATTCCTGGGGCCTTTTTTCAGGATCTTTACAATAAAAGAGCTACAAACACATGTGTGAGCACATACAGACATATGTTCCTAGTTAGTGCTCCACAGCATGGAGGAGGGGCAGTAGATTGTAACAAAAGCTTTGTTGGTTGGTCCCTGAACAGTGTAGCTGCTCCAGCTCTCCGTTACATTATACGGTTAGATTCTATCAGCTTGGAGGATTGAGATTTAATAGGTTTAGTAGAACAGCTTAAACTGGAGTCGTGGAAACTCGCCTAGCTTCTAACTGCCTTCATCCAAACGCCTAGCCCACTTGCTCTGATAGTTAACTCTACTAAGTAGCCTTCGTAGTCTCGTCACCCTGTCAGTCACACTCGTTAATGGTAGTTTTCCTCTAAAAACCTGGCTCTTGGTGAACTGCTAGGGTATAATTTATAGTTTAGGATAGTAAACCCCAGGGATATGTTTAAAATTCTATAGTCTTCTTAAACCAGAACAACCTTTAAGAACCATAATGATCTTATGCACACTATTGCTTAACTTTTTACTACCATCAGAAATACATGAACATTAGGTTATTAATTAAGAATCCATACCATATTTCCTTTAAATGCAAAATGAACATTTATTGAATAATAGTAGCATGGGTAAAGCAACAGCTCTTGATTAGATATACAAATACATTCAGAAACACAATCACGGTTAACTGACTTGGTTAATAATACAGAAGTAAGCTTTTCTAAATACATTGTGTCAACAGTGTAATTTGGAAGGGAGAGAGTAGGCAGCTTGGCCGCAGCTGCCCCACCCCATCCTGACCGGACTCCAGTAGAACTGATGGAATTTCCTAAAAAGGAAATTCCTGATTTGCTCATTGTCAGGACAGACGTATGTATTGGTCACATCCAGTTCAATACTTCTTTTTAGCTGTGCAGGTAGGAACTTTCTTTTCTCAATTACGCAGTTAGAATTACTGGTTACAAAGAATCATTTTTAATCATTACAGCAACTGAATCAACTTAAAACTTAAGCAAAATCACTTTATTACATTGTTTTTGACATATATAGTCTCTTTATATGTCCTGCTTCATACCAGTGTCTGCGTTAATGGCTGTTCCTGGGATCTCAATCTTTGATTCTACTTGACAGCTTTGCTGAGATTCCAATGCATCTTCTGGCAAAAAGAGGTCTCCTCAATGTTGTTGAGTGACTTTGAGAGCGATGAAAATGATGATGAGTATTATTCCACAGACGAGCCCGATGATGTTTAGGATCTTGGCTGTCCTGGATGCATCTGTAGCTACAGCTGAATCTCCCACCGCATTGGCATTTTGTGCCTTTTAAAAAAACAATGATCACAATTAGTTTGATGCAATTTATCTGTTCATGCAATTCACTCTTGCGATAAGAAAAATGTGTTTAGCAGAGGAGATGGAATGTAGCAGTGTCTCAGAATGTAGCAGTAGAAAGGAGCGAACGCTTGCAAAAAAACAAAAAAGTTTAATGCTCAGGAAATGTTACCTACCCTGCAGGAGCAGACGATAGCAGCTATCCCCAGAGGCAGACAACAGCACAAAGCATTAGCTATGGACCATCCGAGGTAGGATGACACCACAGTGCGAGGCTGGCCTCCTTCCATTATACCTCTCTGTCTCAGCTGATGTGGATGAAGGAAGTTATGTTCTCTTGCCAGTGTCTGGATCTAATGGCTGGTGGGGGATGTGACCCAAACCCTTTTTATTCTTCATGGGTGTGGTTTAAGGGGTTGCATAAGATTGACAGCTATGTGCATAAGCAGTCCACACACTACTATGGAACTGAAAGCAATTGGGGGCTGGAACCCTCACAAATTACAAGTTTGAAGAGCTTCATTTCCTTTATTCTTTCACATTGAATTTAAGACACTGTGAAAAAGTTAGTTCTGCTTGGATAAAAGTCTTTGTTTTGAACAGTTGGTCTGTTTGTTAGTTGCTATTTAAGCACTTGCAAGAGCCCACATGGAAATATAACCCACTCAAAATACTGTTTGTATTCTGTTACAGCAAACAAACAATATATACCCATAATTTTTTATTTATTTATTTATTTTCGTGGGTTACAACTACATTTGCAGGTTACATCGTAACTGTTGTCGTCCTTTCTGTAGTGGACGGGAATGTACTTTCACACAGAGTCCTTCAGCTTTTACTTCACATAAGGCTATAGACACTTGTCCTTTTCATGAGATACGATAAGATCAGCTGTATTCATCCTGGAGGAAATTGTTTTGCCAGGATACAATACAATAAAAAATAATCAAAGGTTAGTGGAATACACACAATTACACAGAGGTTAATAGTAAAGTAGAAATCAAGAAGAATACAAAGTACAAAAAGCAAAGTGTCCAAAGGTGTTTGTGTAAAGTGTCTTACGTGTGTAAAGTGTCTAAGCGGATGCCAAGGAATAGTGTCTAGAAAAATTAAAAAGAAATAAATAAAATAGAATAAAACAAAGCAAAGTAAAATAAAATAACACAAGTACAAAATGCAACTGTAAGCTAATAACAAGAAACAGAATAACAGAAAGTGAACTTAAAGTAAGAGTAAACAGATGTATTGCACTGAAAATGAACAATGTATTGCACTAGAATATTGCTCTTGAACAATGATAATGGGGAAAGATAATATGACAGATAATATATTTGCAAGTTAGGTTTGCACCAAACGTCAACAGGCCACCTTTGCTCCTTCTATATAAGACATCATTTGCTCCAAGCAGCAGTACCCTGATTAGAAGTAACTGCACTTCTTGCGTCTATTTGCTGCCGAAAATGTGTTGTTATAGTCTCCACATCTGGCAACAATCAGTCGCAGCATTAAGCATCTTCTGCAGCTCGTTTTCAGGATTCCAGGAAGTGAAATCATCTTCCAATCTTAACATACATTCTGCTGGATGTGTCATTAGTAATTGTCTCACTTCTGCCATATCAGGAGTATAATAAATCCACTAATGTCATGTCCAGTAATATCAATAGATTAATGTATTGTTCTTTATATTGCGAGTTGACCGAGTAGCATCATTCTTTGAGATCTCACTTGTGATGTCAGTCAATTCAATCTCATGGTAAACCTCAGTATTTCCACATCATAGCTGTTAGTTAAAGGACAGCATACTCAGGGCTAATTAAGTTAATTCTTTTTTTAATTGAAATTAAATGAGATGTACAGTATTGTCTGAACCACAGAAGCCCTGGGATTAAACAGGCGTATGTTTACATTCTTAGAGCCTGAGTTGGGCGTACTCTTGTGGTGAGACACTGATGGTGTCCACATGGTTCGAGGTCTACGGCAGTGCATTCGATTCTTACCCAGTAGCAATAATTACAATAATTATTATCATCATCATTTTTTGCCTGAATCAAACACTTTTTTATGGGTTACAGGGATTTTTTTTCAACATGTTTCAAACCAGGTCTGTCAAAGCTGTCCTCTTACATTCTTCATCACTGATTGTTCAAAAAGAGAAATGATAGGACAAGAAATGAAAGTAGCAAGAAAACAGAAGTTGAGTTACTTCATTGCAACATGCTACATTGTAACCATTTACTGTAAGTATAGTGTGCAGTTGTCATCACTTTTTACTATACACGTGCTCCTACATGCTCCTATAAGTTCTTAAATAGTTAGCACAACTTAACTGGAAACAAATTTTAGTTTGCCTCGCAGTTTGGAAGTGGGGTTCATCTTTTGCGATAACCTCAGAAGAAAGACTGGAGCATTGACCAGATTCATTGTGCAAAGGCAGATAAAGTGCAGCGCATTAATCAATGACAGCACTGTGCTTTCAGTATCTGTTGTCCTGCCAGTCACGACACTGTGGCATTCACAGCAGCTGAAGTCTGGCTATATAAAAGCCTCTGTCTGTAAGCTGTCACGAAAATAACTCATACAGCATACATTGTGTTCTGTTTCATACTATAGTGTAGCAGTATTTCATATTACTCAACGGCTGATATTAAGGTCCCAAGCCCTGGTAATTGTTCTGGAATACAATGCATAAACAGCAGCTGGACATTGTCTTCACAATGCTAGCTTTAATTTGAAAGTTATTCCAAACTTGTCGTCACAAGTGTTACAACCCAGCTGTCTAGGGTTAACTAGGAAAGCAACAAAAACAGCAGATGGATGCTGTTCAAGCCAGAGTGAACACAAATGTATTTTAACCAAACACACAAAAAGTTTACAACTTAAATAAAATACATAAATAGAACCAAAACAGGATTCCTTCCTGAAGCTCGGGTTTATCTAAACTATACCTAATAACAAAAATAACTACAAAACCTAACTACACTACCCAAACAGAAATACAGCGGAAGGTCCTCTATCTAAGCACAAATGATGATTTACGAACACAAAAGGTTTCCACAGTCGTCCCTAACTAAGCACTTGATCCTTAAATGAAACAGCAAGTGTCTGTTAAACTCAAGAAGCAAATGGGCAAGCTGAACACTACACAAAAGCTGCTCCGAAAGGCCGAGATGGCAGGTCTTTTAAAGTCAGGTGTGGGGCTTGATTGGTGGAGTCGGTCTGGTCCAGTCAGTCTTAAGCTCCAGAGAGGGGTGCACAGGACATCTCTGGTTGTGACCTTTTGTGAACGTCGAGGTCCTGTTTCTGGAAAACTTTCTGGCTCACTTTTTTAAATCTTAAAAGGCCTGTCACTGTAGAATATGTGAGATGGAAGTATAGTGTGGGACCCATTAGCAAGCATTCAAATTGATGATGTGATTAATTTAACTGCAACTTCATGTTTTTACAAAAAGATCAGAGTTGGAAAGTGAAGACGCTCAGTGGAGTGTCTGCAGCATCTACTTCATCCTCTTTCTCTTCGTGCAAATGAGGATAAACAGCCTCACTGTCTGCGGCTGCTGGTCACTGGGGTCAGGCTGTGAGCACAGCAGCCCTCAAGGGTGAGGTCAATGCTTGCATTCATTTTTGGAATACTTCATGAAGCCCACTTGGTGAAAGTCTGTGAGAGCTTAAGAACTCAAATGTGGCTGGTTACTGTCTACTTGTTTGGTTTTTTTGAATTATGCAACATGTGATAACAGTACAGAGAAACACTGTGGAAACTTTTGAATTTTTGGTGACATGTGATGGGAAAACCTTAGCCAGTTTAGTTCCAGTTTTTAGAATGTGCAACAGTGTCGGTCTGTAGCTCAGCAACAATGCTGTTAGTTGTTTTTTTTGCTGACATTTACCAATTTTAGACCTTTGCCAGCAGTTGAAGGAAGAAACTCAAACCACTTTGACATTTTTTACATAAGGATGCATTCAGCCTCTTAATCTTAATTTCTGCTGCCGGTACTTTTTGGCATTTTCAAACAACTGATTATTACATATGTAGTAAATATTAGCCTATTTATCAATTTACTGTGATTGTGTCAATGCAAGGTTTTTTTTTTAGCCCACACTGCACAAATTAACTGTGAGCTTGGCTTTTAAAACACTTGGAAATGATAGAATGTAAAAACCTGTCTTTACTTTTTTGCTTTAAGGATACTTAAAAATGGTGATGATAATGTTTAGTTTCTGGAGTTCATTAAAGACAATATATATGAGTACGCACTGCACTGATTTTTGGCAGCAGGAGCAAAGACTGCTATCCAACAAACCATGCTCTCTTTCTCTATAAAATTTTTAATATCCACAAGCGGCTGATGAGGCTTGGCAACATATGTTTTTTCCTTGCTTTTTATGCAGATAAGTCACCCTGTAATCCTTCTCGAAATTATAGCAGTATTAAGTTTACATCTGCTGTAAAAGAAAAACAAACTGCATTTAGACATGTTTGGATTAATATGTCTTTGACCACAAGGAGGCAGTCTAGATCTATTGGTGTGGAGATGGTAAAATGGGGAGTTTAAGGTGTGGGAATGTCTTATATCATGATGGTCACTTCAAGAGCAGGTTCACTGAAGTATTGTTGAGATATACACTGTCTACGGCCACTCTGTACTGAACTCACAGGGTGTGGATGCACGGAATAAATATGCAGGAAAAGAGGCATTTTACAGTCTAATGAGGAAAATAATCATGGGAGCAATAAAATGATTTATGTTGCTTCATAAAAACACACTTGACTGTTCTGTTTCATCTGGATTCAGACAGAAATATGACTACCCTTCTTCTGGGTGAGAAGTGCTGCCTTCAAGTGCCACAAAAAACATAATCGAAGTGGCCCACTTGTAGGACACGCTGTACTTTTGGCAACGTGATAGGTCGAATGTAATACAGTAAATTTTCTTTACAACATACAAAAGGTAGCAATGGACATGAACGTTACAATGAAGAGGATACAAATCTTATTGGGGGGTTTTTTCCCGACAAGTTTCCATTATTATTACTATAAAATGTGTTTAATGTCAAACTAGATTAGTGAGTTTACGAGCGTCCATGAAGGCAACATGTCACCATGGCAACTGAACGCCGAGACTTCAGTGGCAAAAGTGCATTTAGCGTTTAGCTGAGGGAAAATAAACTCGCGTAGCTTATGAAATCATAAAACAGGCTTAAAAGTGCAAATACATGATGGAGAAACTTGAAGACTTCGAGAGTTTTTTGAAGAATGTTGACCACATAAGTAAGTAATGTTGCTATGCACCTTATTAGCACTGTTAGCTAACGTCATTGGTTAGCTAGTTCGCTTAACAAACGAAGTTAACGCTAAGTGGCTAAACTTATTGGCATTACTAACTTTATAATCAGGTCAGATAAGTCATATATGTGTACTACGCAGCAGCAATCGCTAGACAACCATTATCTTCAGTCACATACAAAGTATAGAAATACACAACTTAAAAGAAATACAATATGCTGTTTTGTACCTCTTCAACAGTTGTTTTAAAGTTATATTAGTTATTTATTAGTCACGAGTTAATTGTTAGGGTTATTTGTTTATTGTAACCGATAAAGTTCGTTTACAAAATACATATATTTTTCATTTTACATTATTGCTCTTTAAGATATTTAACTTGCAAGAGTACAGGCTGCAAGGTAACAAGTAAAATTCTGTTCAGGTCAGCTAGTGGAGCATTTAAGGTCCTCTGAAGTCGAAGTCCAGCAAAAAGCAATGGCAGACGCTGATTGCTACATTGCTACCTTGGATGAACCCTGCAGAACAAAAGTCAGCAAGACTACAATCAACACGAACCCACCATTACAACCGTCCTTGGTAAAGACATGCAGACAAAGTCAGCTGGACACAGTTGAACTTGTAGTCTGGCGCTCTGTCTGTCTCAGTCTTCCTCACTCTTTCTGTGTCTCTTTGTGTCTGTCTGTCTCTCTTTCTGTTGTAGTCTCTGTCCCTCAAGCACATATACACAACCAGCAACTTCTTTTTGTGTTGTCTACCTTGTCCCACCTTTTTCTATAAGAGGGATGAGTTGATTTACAGTAAATTGTGACTAGGAAAGGAATTCCTTGTTAATGCTCTTTTAATTATTTTTTCCTGTTTTACAGTGTACACAGAATGACAGTCCAGGTAAGCAACAATGAAAATAAATGTTTTGGTATTTAAACATGCTAAGCAAACTTACATTGCACACAGATAAAATAAGAAGAGTGAGGAGCCGTTGGAGGCCACATGCAAAACTTAGTCAAGGAGATTTCTAGTATTGACTGTTTAGCCCACCAAAGGCACTGTGCTACAGAAAAAACCTGTGTACTTAAGCATGCCATGCAAAGGAGAGCTACCTCTAGTACAATACTGAGAGGTGCTGTGGTGCACCTCATTCAGCCCAGCACCTTGCATGTGGTATTCCAAATAAAACAACTTCCAATCAAGTCACAGTGATTAAGATTTTGTTTGTTTAACATGCATGTTTGCATGTTCAGGTTTTTAAAAGTCTCATTACACTAACCTTTAAAATGTGACAAAACTCACACTGCTATATAATTCTTCATGACAATTATCTTTTCACTTCTTTCCGTCCCTGTTCCAAACAGTTTTTCTTTTTGTGATCAGAGAATTTCATGAAGATTATGGAGAAAGATGCTGAAGACAGGAGATTAAGAAGAGCTGCAAAAGTGAAAAAGGCTACTGGTGTGTGATTCTCTCTTTCTTAAAGGTGTTGTTGGAGGTAAACATTTTGCTATACTTGTTCCTCTGTTGTGCTGGCAGTATGCCCTTTTTTAAACGATGTACTGTTTGTTTTTCACTGCAGCTCTCAAAGACAAGGGCAATGAAGCTTATGCTAAAGAAGACTATGAAACTGCTGTGAAGTATTACAGTGATGGTTTGGTTGAACTAAGGGACATGCAACCACTGTACACCAACCGAGCACAAGTAAATATCTTCAAACTATGTTTTCTACCTTCTAAGTGTTTTACACTGAAAACACAAATTGTATTTTGTAGGCAATGTTTTTCTCCATAGTAACTTGCTCGGGTTTGAGACAAAAGTGACGAATAATTAATTATAAAGCCGCACTTATGTGTGCATTACTGTGACCTAAAGAGGTTATGACCACTGTGAAACCGTGTGGATTTTATTTTTTGTGTGATTGTGGTCTTGTGCAGCTAATGTACTTGTAATATCAATGTGTTCCCTTCCAGAGACCTATCATCAAGAAAGTCTGCTCTGTGGTTTATTACTTAGCAAACAATGCCACAACACTCGTCACATTCCTCACTTTGTTTGGCCAGATGTATTTATTTATTTATTTAGTAGCAGTTTTTGGTGCCGAGTTACTTTCTGTCCAATGTTGAAATCTACCTAGGCCTACATCAAGCTGCGAAAGTACAAGGAGGCCATCAGTGACTGTGAATGGGCCCTGAAGGTAAGCTCTGGCTGGGAACTGAGATCAGTCAGTTGCTGCCTCATTTGTCATGGTGAGGCACCATACTTTGAAAACCAATGTGCTTATTAGCAGTTTAAAAATGCTCTCTGAAGAGAAAACTGTGTGTGGGAAAAAAAGGCCAAAATGAGTGGTGTTTTTGAGTGTGTCCTAATTTAGTATCTTTGAAAATTTGTTTTCTAAGGTTGCTGCAAAATGCACATTTACAATTTAAACGGCTTGCTCTAGTTTTGGATTGCAAACACACTCGATAGAGCAACTGCTCAGATTATTTCCTGTAATTATATCACTGTAACATAGCAATCTTTCTGCAGTGTAGTGTGCCTTGAAGATCAGATTGAATATTTCTTTCTTGCTGTGCTAGTGTTATCAATGCAGAAACATTAAATTACCATTATGTAGATGTGCTGCTGATGAAATGCTTTAAGTAACACACTCCCAAGATAATTTTGTCTCTATCAGTGTAATGAGAGGTGCATAAAGGCTTATCTACACATGGGCAAAGCATATCTGGGACTGAAGAAATATAATGAGGTGAGTATAATTACCTCTCATTATATCTAATCACACCTGTTTTTGTTTTTTACACATTACTCTGCAGACAGCTTTACTTGACATTCTATACAACTATCGCAGAAATGAGGCCACATTATGCCAGTTGTGTGCCTGGAATAAAAATATAGTTCATAAGAATTCTAAAATTCTAAACATGTGGCATATAAGCAGTGCCAATACTGATCCCAATGTAGATAATGTGAACTCACAGAAGTTTTCTGTCAGATCTGTATTCACATTATTTGAGCCCATCAAGTCATTGCAAAAATGACTTCTATCCATCTTGATACCTTGGAACAAAAATCACACAATTATTCCAAAATGCATCATAGTTTACTACATATATAATATACCGCTTGTGCCAAGAAGATGTATTCTTCTGGAGCAGCCATCATCATACATTTTTCATGGGTTCAGTAAGTGAAACCCATTATCTTACTAGTGATGAAGGAAACTCTTCTCTTTTTCAGGCAAGAAACTGCTTTGAAAAAATACAGGAAAATGAACCTGGAAAGGAAAAGCTGGTGAAAGGTAAAGTTATTTTTTTGTTGGTTAAGCAAAGAAGAGTTTAGTGTATTTAAGCTTTTTATGAGCGCTGTCCTTACTGGCAAATCATTTTAAGTTTAGTTCCGCATTTGTATTTTCTGTGCAAATTTTCCACATGACTCAGTTTCATTACATTACTGAATATCATTCCATGATGTTTTTTTTCCACATTGTGGATTATAGTCTTTGCACACACTACAGCATGTGCCCCATTTTAATGTTAAACTAAACCCATCAAAAGTATAGATGAGGTGCTTTGTGTTTGCTCAGGGTGGTTGTCAGTGATGTGGTTTCACTAACTGCGGTCAAGTTAATTGATTAATTTTGTTTTCCTCACAGTTTAGTTGTATTTAGCACTATAGTTTTTGTTCAGAAATTTTTTTGAGAAGGCTTCATGTCGCTAAAACTCAGAAAAGTTGCTCACAACATATTTGGAAGAATCCTTCATTAGAGCATAACCGCACTCTATACTGTTTTGCAGTCTCTCTGCTGTTGTTGTTTATTGGTCATTACTGTCGATTGTATGTTGTATAGTATTTAGATAATGCTCTGAGTGTGTGTTTGTTGCAATGTTTATCTCACAAAGTCAGTTGAAGGACAGGACACTTCTCTTAGACACAGCAACTATAGTTTTGGTGTGGAGTAACTGGTATTTTTTCTTCTACTCTCTTCTCTACTTTGTTTCTCTTTGTAGAGTACCTGACCCAGGTGGACTTGGAAGAGGAGCGAGAGAGTCAAGAGATGAATGCAATACAAGAGTTTGACAAAGGAGAGAGGAAGGCCACAACAGTCCCCCAGCTGCTGGAGAAGCTGTCAAGGCCTGGTCAGATGCCCCTCTACTACTGTGGAGGATTGGAGTTTCTGTCACAAGCAATTACTGACTGTGAGTGTTCTATTGGAAGAAGCTTTGTACAATTATGTTCCTCTAATCTCTTTGTGCCCACTTTCTCCTCAATAACCTGCTTCACTGGTGTACCATATTTGCCAGGTATATGGTTAAAATGGTAGCAAAAGATAATCTTTTAGGTCAGGATGGTTAAGAAGACCCAAAAGAGAGTTCCTACACTACCTAAGTACTCACAATAAACATCTTAGAGCATGGCATCAGGTGAAGCCGGGCGGCAAAAACGAATTGCTTCTTGTCACAATGGAAGAGGGGAGACCTAACACCGTCCATCAATGATTTCTCTTCATGCTCCATTTACTTGTCACAGTGAGTAAAATGTCCAATGTGGACTATAAAGCCACTGTGTAGAGGATAGAACAGCATATATCCCATAAAACTATTTAATGCTGTACATAAAAACTGCTGTGCAGAACAATTTTCTTGGTGTAGTTTATTATCAGATCGGTAACAAGTTGTCTACTATTTTGCAATTTCTTGTAAACAGTAAAACCTGCAGGTATGATTTGATTCGTGATCTCTTTCTGATCAATTAGTAGAATTAGACATTCCCTTGATGTATAAATGATGTTGTAATTTGGTTGCCAAACTGCTGAGTAGGCTGTTCTTAGTCAGCATTGTCAGCTGTTTCAGCAGCTCAGTGATGTTGTGACATTAAGAAACTGCGATTGAGGCCTTTTGTGTGAGTTCCGGCTTGTGTGTGCAATGCTAGCTTTATTTAGCACCGGCAGCAAATACAGAGGGGGTTGTTGTAAGATGACAGAAACACTGTTAAGTCTTCTGGAGTTGTCTTGGGTGCAATTTAATGAAACATCAGTGATAGCAGGTGGTCATTTTATGATCTCAGTGGCATACCTGCACTCAATCCTGTCAGATTCAGAATAGGTGAATGCTGGTACCTGTCCATTGACTAGATTTATGACAGCAAAGCCCTTTCGATGGACAGGAGCCCTGCAACATGTCAGGTATTATTGATGCTTATATATTTTTCAGTGCAAGAGTGAGCTGTTGTCAAGGGGCTCAGAATGTCTAAGGTCCCTGACGAAGAAAACAGAGCAAATCAACTCCACGCTGACACAAAAGCACCGCTAGAAACGAGTCAATAAATCCCAAACTGCACCATGACAGGAAAAATGGGTGCAGAAGACAAATCATATCTAATTGTTATAGTTTGCTTGTAGCATAGTGCTTGTTGCTCAAGGTCTAATGTGAATCGACCCAAACAAGCAAAGCAGGAACATGCTCTTACGGCCCTGACTTCCTCTTGGATTGTGTGGGGAATTGGTTTGGCACGAGTTATTTCACCCCATGTGCTTATTTGATAATGATAGCATCAGGATGAAAAGTAACTGATATTTGTCTACCAAGTCCTCTGCTGTCTGAGAAGGGACCATTGTAGACAGGCAGCATTTGATCTCCACCAGGTTTTTTCACCCCTCCTCTGTCAGCTGCTGATATTTTCGTGAATGTTTTTGACCCAACAAATGACTTTGAAACTCCACAGTGTGAGTGTCACTCTTTTTAGTTACTGCCACGAGGCAGAAATTGCAACTTTTTGTACAACAGTAGGGCAATAATAGTACAAGTCCTCAAGGTCAATGGCACTCTGAGGAGTATTTGTTTTGTTAGGTTCAGCTAAGAAAAAAGTTGTAATGAAGTAGTTCTGACATGCTCCATCCCACTGGTGCTGTCTTGCATGCCTTGTAAAACTTCAGATGTTTGGACCACACAGCCAAGGCCGATGGAATTGATGAAGTGAAACATGAAGCTCACCATTCAGCAAGCCATAAAACTAGAAAAAGCTACATCATAGTGTAATGCTAACTCTCTTTCTTGTGTTTTAACTTGTATCACTATTTGTAATACACCATATTCCTTAACCTGCTGTCCTCTGCAGAATGGCAAACATTTCTTATCCGATTTCTCTTCTTTCTTCATTTAGATGAATAAAAGTGTCATGTCAAATGATGTAACGCCTGTCTCACAGTGCCATTCAACAGAAAAGGGCAAAACTTACATAACTCTGGACTGAAAGGATCTCAGCAGGGTTGACATTACAAGCCTTGTCCCCTAAAAGTCCTCCTTCACTGCTATGCTCTTCTTTCTGTATTCTCTGTCTCATTATTAGGGAAAATTTCTTACTGTACGTTGGTCTCGCTACATACTTTATTTATTCTTTTCTGCCGTGTCCTTGACTGTAAACCAGTGAAAAGGCAGGCTGAATGAAAAGAGAAAGGTGTTGCGTTTCTGTAAAACCTTGAGGCTATCAGGTGATGATATATAGTTTTCTGTGTTCTTACACTATCTACTGTTCTCTTCTAACAGGTACAGGGCAGACCCTTTTCAGGCTGAACAATGGCTTTAGTATCATCAGCAGCAATGACACAGTGAGGAGGTAAGGAGACCAGAGGGAGAGTTAGCAGTCAGCCCTCAGTGGAGCGTTGACAAATGGACCCAGAGACAGGGGCATACAGAGACAATGATGGTCTAAACTAGAGAGATCATTCATTGCTTGCACTCTCTCTCTCTCTCTCTCTCTCTCTCTGGTTGTTTGGGTGATATCCGAAAAAAAAGAAAAGATGATCACGCTAGAGATTGAGATGAGTGCTGAAATGAACAAAGACCCAGTGTTTTGTCCCAGAAAGAGGACGTGTTATGTACAAGATACAAATTATGACTCCCTCATGTCAGATCAGCAAGGTCATTGTTAATGTGCCACATACTTTCCATGTTGTTAGCCCTATCATTATTTAAGTTGGAACAAAGTGTCTGGGAAGTAGAGATAACAAAGAGCCTACAGTCTGGGCTTGATGAAAATAGCCAGTAAGGATGCTGATGTGCTGGGAAAACGGAAACATATGTGAACCATGTAGCATAGAAGGCCAGTTCCATAGTGACTTGTCCTCTTCTCTGTTTTTATTATGTTCACTGGACTGTATACACAGCTGTACTAAAATAACTACTAAAATAGACTTCTTTTGTTATTTTTTTAATCTAATAGTGCATTTTAGTACCTAAATACATATAAAATTAATTGTGGGAATGTTTGTCAAATGTACCATTCTGTTGCTGTAGTTTTAATTTTGTTTCCCATACTTTGTTTTGATATGTTAATTGACATATGTTGACGTAAATCATAATTTTGAGTTCATTTTCTCCACAGTTGCCTATTGCAGGAAACAAATGATCCAGACTGCTGTGAATTGTGTGTGTCTGTTTTGAAATTATGGAGGCTTATTTGCCGTGGAAATAGTAAGTCAATAATTGCGTTACACTTCATTGTCTGCCTTTGTCCATACATCAATTTACTCGCACTGATTTATCAGACAATAGAGGAGAAAAAAAACAATGTAATCCTCTCCTTTGACATTGTGTCGTTACTGCACAGCTTGTCAGTGCCAATCCTTTGGTTGTCTTTGGATCACAAAAGCTAGCCTAGCAACTGTTTTTACACACTTTGATCATTTGTTTACATACCTATGCACAGCGTGTGTATGTTAATGTCATGAATAACAAAACATATCTTCAGTTGAACACTGTGATGCATATTACAGAAATTGTGTTTAAAAATAGGCTGTTGTTGCTCGGAAAAATAGCTGGTCTAGTAAGTAATTAGAACTCATTCTTGACACGTACTCTACTTTCTTCTTTGTTTTCAGATGAAAACCAGAAACTGTTGCTGACATGTCCAGTCTCCAGACAGTCCATTGTTCAGCTGATAACATCAGAGCATGTTGCAGTAGGAAACGAATGCATGGCATTACTATATTTGTACTCACAGATGCCACATGGCAGATGTTTGGCCATTGACAACTTGAATGTGCACATGTAAGACATTTGTCTGTGTTGTCCTCAGATGCAAGTAATGACTGCAATTACATAGCTGGAGAGAAAAATATGTTTTTTTCCTGTTTACCAAACCCAACGACATTGTAGGGACAGAGAATTATTTATTGTATAGACAGAGACAGTAAAGCTTTTTTTTTTTTTTTTTAACCTTCTCCAATAAAAAAATCAACAGAGGGAATCAGCCCTGGGCCATATGAGTGTCATTGTCAGTCCCATTGTCAGTCCCATTGACAGAAAATTTGGATGACATTGCCCTGTTAACAGACTGGCGACCTGTCCAGGGTGTCCCCTGCCTTCGCTCTAAGTCAGCTGGGATAGGCTCCAGCCCCCCCCCGCGACCCCAGTGTGGATTAAGCGGTGTATAGATAATGGATGGATGTATGGATGCCCTGTTAACACTGAGTGGTCCAAATGATTTTTATTACTTCTACATCTGCTACTGATTAGAGTTTCAGAAAACTGGAAAAAATGAGTAACATTGTTATTGAATTTTGGCATTATTATTACACGTATTGGTCTGTTTTTAGATACTATCATACTCGCTACTGTGTATGATAATAAAAAAAAAAAAAGAACATGTCACTTTATCACAACGGTCCATTCACTTTCTTTCTGTTTCTCTCTTTTTTGTTTTCCTTCTCTGTGTCTTCATCTCCTTTTATTCTTAATTTGAACATAAAGGTTAGTGAGGAATCTCATGGTGCGCATCTCGGAGCCAAAACAGCAGCAGGGCAACACAGCGGTCAACATTCTGAAGAACTTTGCAGCAGAAATCAGGTGTTAATGATACATACAGCAAAAAACCAACAACAATCACAAGATTTATTGTCTTGACATTGCAGAAAAAGATGAATTTTATTTCCAGATGAGGAAATACATATTTTCAGATACACTCCACAATTCAGAAAATGAACCACAAGACAGTCCATTATACTCCCATACATCATTTTCATAGACTGTACATGAAAAGCACTTTAAAATCCACCCACGTCATGAGAGGTCCCCACAGAAATGGGAAGTGTGGCATCTTTAATAAATCAACATGTGCTATCCAAGTGTTCATGCCACTTGAAGGCAAAGGCCATTCTCAACCTGTTTCCCTTTTCTGGTGCTCTGTGAAAATAGACATGAAAGGACAACTCAGGCTCTCGAACACAGCAGGAAATAAGTCGAGGTGTCAAGCAGTGAAATGGGGAGATCAATTTCCCTTGTCCATAGCTCAAACAGAGTTACTCAGAAAAATGTGTTACATCCGACAGGGTTTCTCTTTATTTTTGAGGCCCAGCTGGATCAATGTTGGGCTTTCATTTATGATTTTGTTTTGGTGTAAAAATAAATAAATATATATGCGTGTAGTGGAAATTGATTCATACAGATTTGCACACATGCATTTAGTTACATTACACTATGGCATAGAGGATACTTAGCCAAATTGTTGTTTTTAGTCTTAAGTCAAAGGGACATGGACTGTGCAGTGTAGATACAATGAACACAGCAAATCCATCTGCCTTTTACTGACTTTAACATGGATCAGTGAAAATCTTCAGAGACATGATAATCAGTGCTATTTGACCACTAAATTGAATCGTCCTGTATGTCCTATTTTACTGAGACATTTTGTGGTTTTGGGGAGTACAAGTCCATATGGGTCCACTGTGATTGTAATTACTGATGCACTCGGGACTTGTTCACCTTGGAAAGAAGTGCCAGTGTTTGTAGTTTCGCCATGCTTCCTTTCAAGATATTACTTGCTTAATTAAGTTGCTGATTTGCTACCTTGTCTGATGCTAGACTGTGAATAACTTCAACGTAAGATTCAACCTGACCTTACTCACTACCTCTAGGCAGTAATTGTTATTGTGAGAACAGGATGCAGAATGTTGTATGTGTTACTTTGCATAACAGTGTGTCTGTTTTAAATTTACATTAGAAATGTTTTTGTATTTTCTTGCAGATTTCGCATTCACTTAAGAAATGTGTTGGAAGACTCTGTTATTGTGCCATTTACAACAATGCTGGTAAGATATGTAAATATCAGTGTTCGGTTTATATATGGTGTGTTTATGTGGGCAAATGTGCACATTTGTTTGCTTCATTTTTCAGAGAAATATCAGCAAGTCCAATCATCATGTCCTTCCGTCACTGATATCAGCGGTTGGCTGTATGGCTCGAGATGGCATCATTCATCACAGACTTGCTCATGATCCAGAATGTTGGAAGGCCTTTCTGCTTGCCATTGTTAGTGCAAATTGCCGTTCATTGTGTTGAGTGCAGATGCCAAAAGAAATAAAACACTTCAGAATAGTGCTGATGTCACATAAGACATAATAGATGTCTGCTTTATTCACTCTAAGATTTGTTGTGTCTCTCTGCAGAGGCAGTGCAATGCTTCTGAATACAAAGACATCCTTGACCCTTTACTTGGGTTGATCATCAACCTTTCAGCTATCACCTCTCCAGTCATCCAGGTAAGACAGGTGATGCCGAATGTGATTGTGACAGCAAAGATTTTCACTTGTTAATGGATGATATTAATGCATCTTGGACAACGTCAAGCTGAACTGTGATCTTGTGTGCTGAAAGGGAATAAAATTTGTGACTGGAAAAGGCCCTTCACTCAGTGAAATTCAGTAAATTAGAATATATTGCAAAACATTATAAAAGAAAATGGATCAGGGAAGCAGAGGAAGCAATTGTGTAATCCATGATGTGTGATGTCACCTATTTAGAGGTGAAATGCATGTGAAAATTGGCTTAGCTGCTTTTTCTGTCTCTTCCTTTTTGAAGGAGCTTGCTGTTTCACTCTGTGACTGCTGTCTGAGCCTGCTGAGGGATAGTGACGGAGGAATCATAACTGTGAGTGAACCTGACTTACAGTACTCGGAGGATTTGAACCGTCACCCATCATGTAGCTAGATGCCTTACGGCATCATAACTACTTCTATTAGATTTTTTTTTATATGGCAATATCACTACATATTACTGTGTTGGGCCAAGAAAGGTAAGAAAAACATTAGTACGCAGAGATTTTTACAGTTGAGGAGCCGTACTTAAAAGTTTTTCTTGTTTTCCAAGAAAATGCAAAGACCATCTTTGTAGGTAACTATATGAAAATAAAAGACATTTGTCTTGAGTAATGGGACTTATCTAAGGAGTGATCTCACTAGCAAAGTGCCCCAAAAGGTGGTAACAGCAATCCATGATATACAAAGGATCCCGTATATGTGTCATTACAGTTGATTAAAACTCGAGCTCCAGGTGCTTTTGTCTGAGCTAATGGCTGTTGCAGCAGTTTCACACTGCCTATGCAATACCCTCAGAGACCCACACTTCCACCCATCTGCCTGTTTTCTGTTTCGGTGCTTATCGACTGCTTGGCTAGCACATTTTCTTCTTTTTCCTTCCATATGTCTTTAATATTTTTCTCTGCCCATGTCATTACTTGCTACTTATTATTTCTTTAATGCATCATAATGGTTGTCACAACACCCCAATCCAATGTTGCTGTTGAAACTATCACTGAAGTTGTGTTTTCTGTCTATAAATTCAGCTTTGATGTGTTTAGAGGATGTGTACAAGGCTACAGGCATGAGAGTGTCAGGAACTACACAGTTTGCCATTTGTTTCCACCCAAGTGAGAAAACTCATTAAGTGAACATGTAAACACTCTTTTTAAAGATGCATAAATCTAATTTTGGCCACTCGGGGCTCTCAAACAAGCTGGCCAGCCTGACATACAGTCTTCTTGTCCTTAAAATTGATATGGATGGTCTCCTGTATGTTAGCAAACATTTATCTTTAAACAACTATGAAAGATATCAAGCAAGTAAGTAATCGCCTCGTCATAACTGTGTGACTGGATGCTCATGAGATGGATGAGTTTGGATAAAATATTCAACAAAATTCGTAATTCGTAATTTTAACTTTTATTTTGACAAATAATTCTCCCCAATGGTTAATTTGCATGTGAATTTTATTTTTATGTCACCTTCACTATGTAATTAGTGCCCTCAAATTAAGTTGTTTGTGCCTTCAAATGAGTAAACCTTGCCCTCAAATTACTGTATGCAGCAAGGCGTAATTCAGTGGCTTCTGCCTGCAGTTAATTTGGATGCCACTATATTTGTTTGGCTATTTTTCTAGTCTTTTCTTTTTATTATCTTGTCCTTGAAAGGGTTATGACAATTATGTTCACTTACACTATTCTCTCACTGCCTCTACAACGGACTTTACTGTTATAAACACACTCCATAACACCAGTGGATTTCATATTTTGAAGCTGTTTTCCCTTTTCTTATTTTTCGTCTTTCTCTAGCCCCACTCTCAGATTCTCTTTGTCTCTAGTAGGAGCTGTTATCCTTTGACTGTTTTCTCTCTGTGACTCCTCTTTCTCCCACAGCATTTTTCTCTTGATCCTCTGTATCCTACTGTGTTTTTCCATCTGACTTTCTTCCTCTACTTTTCTCTATGATTTCCTTTTCCAATGCCAACATTCTTCTTTGTCCTCTAGAGAGCCGCAGGTGTGCTGAGTGCTGTCCTCCCTCAGTCGTCTGAAGCCGTTGAGCATGTTATTCAGGGGGAAGTGGTCCGGACCCTGCGCTGGCTGCTGAAGGTGTGTGACTGTGTATGCAGCCAAGTGCATTTGATTACATGCAACACTCGTTCTGATCTTTCTCATGGAATAATAATGTATTGCCCATATACCAGGATTCATGATTCCTAAAAGATGTTGAATTAACAATATTGCATGATTTACACGTTTAGCATTTTATAATGTGTCTCATTCATGGTCATGATCCTCCAAGTTTTTAAAATTTTATTGTCCAGCATTGTACTTACAGTCTATTAGGAAAACAAACATAACTTTAGCAGCCGTTGTACTGAAAGGTGTCAGATTCAATTTGTGCATGCATGGCAGAGACTTTTTTCCAACCATAGCAAAAATGATAATAAAGTTCAGCCAAACCATTCTGCATAGCGCTGTGTCAGTGCTTAAGTGACCTGGTTATGCAAGAATAATTTTACCATGTTAGTAGTAACATCTGCAAAAATACAAATGCAGACGCTCACATTTTTGCCTCTGCTTAAATCCACAATATTCTTAGAACTGCATATCATAATGATTTGATCAATACATACACCAATCAGCATCAGAACTTTATTAGTTCTCGCAAGGAAATAGCTTACAGTGCACAAGATTGTGTATCTTTAACAGAAAGAGGAGGAATTGTATAACTTAATTGGCAAGCAGGTCAGGCTCTTGTCACCTCTGGTAGAACAGGTCACAAGCGAAGTGAAAATGGGAGGAATCTTGTCCAGTGTCCTCTGAGATCATAAAAGAAGCACTGGGGCGTTGAGTATGGAGTTTCAAGTAGAACAGAGTACATAATGTCCCACACAGTTGCTGGGTTAGCAGAGAATAGGAAGATTGAAAGAAGAACCATGATGGCATGTGAAAACTCCACGGGTATGTTTGGATGTAGCCCTGCTGTAGAAGCGTTCCTCACTCATATCAGTGTTTCTAACTGTGACCCATATTTTATGCGTGCAAGTATTCTTTAGATTTGCGGTAATTCCACTACAAGTCGCTTTTCTGTAATTTGTATGCCCTCTGAGTGAAGTTGAAGTTAGAGTTTACAAACATGCATTTCGCTTGTTTAATGTCATTGTTATTTTTGTGCTTGCCTACCCAGGGAACAGGGCAGACTGCCACTAAGTATGCCATTAAGATTCTGACAGTGTGCACTGCTGCCAGTCAGTTGGCACGGGAAGAGCTGGTGAAGTCTGATAAAAGTGAGAAATGATTGACATGTTAGCATTAACAAGCTCCGCCATTAGTCCATGAATAATATTTGAGGGTTGACCTCATATTCAAATGAAGTGTGTGTGTGTGTGTGTATAGATTCACATGTACATATGCTTAAGTGCAGGCTACAGTGTATTTACTGATTTTCATGTCATTGCATGTATTTGGTATTCATTTATTGTTCTATGCAGAGCTGTCCATTTTACGTCATTTGCTGAGTTCCAGCTGTGATGAGACGGTGTCAGGAAATGCAGCCCTGTGCTTGGCCCACTGCCTTGACTTGGAGGGAGTTGCCAGCCACCTGCTGGGAACTGATATTGTGCTACTGCTGCTGCGACACGCTGCAGGGGACTCAAAAAGGACAGCTGTGCAGCAAAATGCAGCGATTGCGCTTGGGAAGCTGTGTCGATCAGAGCCCAGGTGCCCCCTCACCCTACACGAGAAACCACATGTTGTTGATTACATTCTAGGAAGTAGATTGGAGCATTAATAGACTTGGTAAAATGTCACAGTAGCTGTTGAATGTGACTTTACGGCTCTGAAGATGTTATACATGCAGCCAACTTCTGGCTTAGGCTGACTGGGAATATTTCAGTATTTGCTTATTATATGCAGTCGCTGTTTGCATCTCAAATACTATTTATTATATACAGTATAAACAAAATATTTAGTTTGTCTTGTTTGTTCCTGTACACATCCACCACAACCATAGTGTCATTCTGTGCACGTGATGCTTGGCTACCTACATTAATGCATGGTAATAGCAGTAAAATTACCACTGTCTCTTACAGTCAGTTTACCTGTCAATCATGACTGAGCAGACTAGAACAGAGAGGAACAGACAGTTGGGATTTTGGCTACATTTAATTGTTTTATTAAATTTTACACAAGTAACTACAACTTAGGATCTACATTTAGTATAATTTCCCATAGTTTAAGCTGTCATCTTTAAAGTGCTTCTTTTGTCTAACAGACAAAAACCCAAACACAATACACTGACATGAGACCTCAAATTTGAGAAACTGGATCTGCACATCTAGCTAATTGTTTAACTTAATTCTATGAGAACAAGTGTTTTTATGATAGCAAATTCTTTATACAAAATACACAAAAGCCATGTGTGTCTTACGCAAAACCTATAAATATACATATATTTGCTTCCCTTACATTAAGGTCAATATTTAACTTTACGGCTTTTATTTTGCACTTCAGGGTAACATTCATGTGTGAACACCCTTTGTTTATAGACTCCAAGCTGAGTTAAATAAAACCTGAATGCATTCTTAACTGAGTAATGATGTGCTGCTATAGGCCATCATCTGTACACTGTAGCAGCGATTATGTGAGTAGAAATGATATAGTATCCCTAATAATGGGACCTGGCAGCAGCAAACATGCCTCTTTATTCCTTGGAGGACTTTTATACACCTCCAGGCTAAAGAGCTCTGCCGTGACTGTGTCGAGGATGTGTTGATCTTTAGTCCCTAAGCTCACGCGTGTGTAGTTTCAGTCGAGTGCCAACCTACTGACAATGCTGTGTTCCCTTTTAAAAGATGTTTTTCCTATATTTTTCCAGACATATGAACAAACTTCGAGAACTACATGGCCTTGAGATCCTGCACTCCTGTGTGAAGCTCATCTCATGAACCAGTGGCAGTGGGTTGTGTTTTAAAATCTCCTTGCTTGACATCAACCTTGTTTTCTTCTGTATTCTGTTTTATGTGTAGAGGCTTATTAAGCTATTGGGTAAAAGCAAAATTTATGGCAAATATTTGTTTCCTTGATCCTCTTTGGGGAAAATATTGTTTTTTTTACTTTGTTAACATGTCCATATGGTATTTTTACATGCTGAAAGATGCATCATAAGTGAAATGAGCAGCGGCAGAGAGTTTCTGTCCTGAACCTGCAGTGTACCGATGACAGTCTCAAAAACACAGATTCAGACTTCTGGGGTTTTATATGTAACACACCTCAAGAACCAATCCTGTCGACTTGCAGGGTGGATTTTTCCATATTCTTCTTTAGGTTCTGTTTTCAGTTCATACATGTGTGACTGAATTACTCCCAATATTCTAGCTTGCTGTTGTGTAGCGTATAGTAGTTTTACAGTGCTTGAACAGAGTCATAGGTGAGCTGGTGTGCTCCAGTTACAGTGAACCGATGAAAGATGAGTGGGGAGAGAAGTGGTTACTTAATCTGCACATTCCAGAGAAAGCCACAGTGTAGAGCAAAGAGGGATTATTTTCATGGAAAAGACTAAAAATATAACACGGTTTCTGGGGATATAATCAACGGCTGGAGGGCGACTTGAAACTCTCATGATTAATTTTAATTCCAATGTGGATTTTGTGGTTCTGTAAGAAAGCTATGTGTGACTTGAGAAATATTAAAGATTTATTACATTTGAATAAGATTCTGCTCCTAATTGCTTAATCTACATAAACAAGGTCATAAACATGAGCAGTGTTCTTGCTTGTCCTTATTTTTCATGCCTTGTGAATTCAGACAGGTAATTACCTTGAATTCATGCAGATGGAGGTGCAAGCGCATTCAGTTTTATCATCAACATGTGTCTGCAACTAGATTTAAATGTTAGTTTTTTATGACAAAAATGCAAATATTTGACATAAATATTTTTTCTACTAAACAAGAAAATACATATTTGACAGAATACACCGTTTAAAAACGAGCCCTTGATCAGGCCACAGTAATATCATGAATGAATGGAAGTGGGATATGGATTAGAGAAGTGTATCATCAACATATATGCACCTGTTTTGAAAAAAATTCAGATATTTCCCATAAAGTATGCCAAATAGACAGTGTTGAGGGATATTTGAAGATAAATGGAAATAGCACCACAAGGTTATTGCACTGCTTTTTATAAAGAGTGAAGATAAAAGCAAAAAATGAGCAATTAAGAAAAAAAGTCAGGGATTTATCAGAAGCTTGTGTTAGTATTCATTTGTGTCATTTTTAACACAGGTAGTGATATTTAGGAGTAATAACATATTTTTTTAAATTTAAGTGCAGTTTTCTTTTATATTTCTTCTTAACATCTTTGGACCTGTTGACCACACAGTTGTGACAGCCAGGGGGGGGAAAAAAAGGGTTCCTGAGAAATGTAATCCGTGTATAAAAGAACTTCAGTGGACAAAAGCTCCCTGCAAGCAATGACACCATCTGTGTACGTCTGCAAACAAGCTGATACCTTCTGCTCAGTTGGATTACACAGTAACAAGAACACTAACTCACTGGGCTTTGAGTAATTGTTAACAAGACTGAACAGAAATGAGGAAGCGTGACACTTTCATATTAGGATTTTTCCTGCTTACAGGTATGTGCTCAGTTTTATGTTCAGTTTTTGGATACACTACAATAGTTGCTTCCCTTGTGCTCCTGTTTATTTTTACCACTGCTGGTAAATACGTTATAAATAGAAACTGTGGATGTGGTGATGAGATGACTGATAGAATAACTATGTTATATTTGCTTGTATATTTCAATTTGAACACATTTGCATTTCCCAGTTGTGAGATCTACAGCTGATAAATATTGCAAAAGTTTTTCTTTTTCTTTCTTTCTTTTTTTTTTATTTTGCTGAACATTGACACACTTTTCTGGTCTCCAGATTTATGTCTTCTTCTTAAAAATGTATCCACAGTTGAAACATGCAGGAGCAAATAGCAGCTGGAGAGCTTTAAATTTTCATTTTCACTATTTCAAAGTTGTTCAAAAAATCTATATTTCCTACATATTTATACCAGTTGTGTGGAATGGCAAAGTAATTAAATAAACGTAAAAATCGGAAATGCTTTTTAATCATTAAGTCTGCCTCCCTCTATAGCTGAGTTACTACATTGTGTTACCAGCATATGTGTTAACACGACATTCATTCATTCTGAGATTTAATGGAGCATCTTATATGTTTACATAAGTTTTCATATTCATTTGTGTCATCTACTCTGGTTACTGACATGATTAAACTTGAAATTAGCTACACAGATTAATATTATTAAGGCTACAATTAAGAGTCAAAACATCTAACCCAAATCATTTTTTATTTTAGCCATCAGTCACACACCAACGGGTGTCATTAACTTTTTTTTGCGACATTGTGTCTATCACAGTGGGGCTCAAATGATTAAAGTCACCCTGTGGGGGTCTGAGAGTAAGCCATCAGTTTTGCTTGCATTCAATAAACTCTTAGATACATTTCCTACATCATATGCAAAATCCCTGCTAACATTTATATTAACTTTTTTTATGTTTATGCAAATGGCTCATTTTTAAATTGCTGCTTTCTTCTCTTTTATTTGTAAGCTACTAAACCGCTGTGCAGCACCTCCATAAACAGCACTGCATGTGATATTGCTTGAAATTCAGGGGCTTCATATAGGTATCACTACGGTGCAGGAACCATAAGAATTTTTATGGCTTAATTGTATTTATCAAGGGCCGGTGCTTGAATATGTTCTGTGGTGCTTGTTGGAGTCTAAACTGCAGGGGATACTGAATGAACAGAACGACTGATCATGTCTGACAAAACCCTATCCCAGTGAAATGGTGAAATCTTCTACACTACTATAAATCAGTTCTTGTATGCTGTGGATATCTACTATGAAATCACTAGGGCACATCAACGTGGAGGCATAAATCCATCCTAAACACTCAAATTTATTAAATCAATCCTTAAATCATTTCTTTATTGCAAAATCCAGCAATGAAAGAAAAAAAAAATACATGAAGCTGATCATAAGTCTACCAGAACTGCTGACAAAATAACAATGGGCAATACCACTTTATTTGATTATCAAAGTTGTTTAAAAATGCACCAGATTTCCTTCAAATTTGTTATTTTTGGAGCAACGCTCATGTTTTGAACATCACGATCTCCTGACATATTATTTGGCAGGATTGGCTGTTAATTATATTTTTTATACATCGAAACAGACTTTATAATGTATATTAAATAAATACAGTATGCCAGCTTTGGTATATTGTGCTATGTAGCTGGGACTATTTTAATTACTGGGACTAATCTGATTAACAAAAAACATTGCTAATTTTAAAAGTAGAAATATGCTGTTTGGTTCGTGGTAAAAAAGTGTTTGTTTTTTTAGCATAGCAGTTTAAGCAAGAATGGCCTTTGGTAAAAAATAAAAAAATAAAAAAATTGAGTGACATGTTTTGCTTTTTTCTTCGTAGTCAGGGCAGAAAAAGAAGATTTCCAAGGTTACCTCACAGAACAAACAAAAGGCACAACTGTCACAAAAGATCGGCCTTTGAAAAAGGAAAACACTATTGGTCATGGCACAGAAGCAATACCTACAGAGAATACACATCGACACGCTGCAATGGCACAGACCGCCAACTTTCCAGGGGCGGTCTTGTTTGACACCAGACCAACACAACCTTATGAGCGGACACAAATCACAAAAGCTGCAGCTGTCATTTCTTTACCAAGCACAGAACACTCTGTTTCCAGATCTGGGCAAAACTCTCTCACATCAATGAGAGAAAATCCATCAGCTGTGAAGATTGACACCACATCAGAAATCCCACTGATCTATAATTATGAAAAGATCATTTTCTCTTCAGCGAAGGCTTCATTGGAATCAATGATGAATGGCACCTCAGAGCCAGAGGTGCATTTGCCTTCAGATGCAGTGAAAGCCCCTCCTAAGCTTCATACTCTTGACAGTGAGAATCAGAGAAACACTAATTCCGTTAATCTCATATCTGCTGACGGAGGGCTGGGAGTTCCAGTCCTATCTGCATCTCATCCTCGTGTAATTGATAACCTGGCTGTGCTACGTAATGACAGTGATGAGAGACAATCTCAAGGCAAGGGGATTACAAACCCAGGAAGAAACGCGGATGTGTTTGGTTCACCGCAATCCATCTTTCAAAATGATACATCAGAAGATTCAGGGAGAGGAAATGCTGTGACGAACTCATGTTTGACCTGTCTGAATGATCGAGGAGCAGCGTCCACTGAGAAATCTGTGGCTCTGCCTGCCCTGTCACCTCCTGCCTCTCCAGACTCCCTTGGTATCGAGGGGCTCACTTTAGATTTCAATCAGTTTGCAACCTCATTGCCCAGTTTACATCAACAGTCAGCTGGAGAAGGAGAAGAAATACTGAACAAAGAGATCAGTCACCAAAACACTACGAAGCATTCTGGTTTTGGTGAGATAGGAAGACAACTTCACAGTCAGACATTTCTTTCTTCATCCTTCAATAAAACTTTGAATCACAGTGAAAGCATATTGAATAATCCTCAAATCAAATCTTTTTTCTCAGATACGGAAACAGTTGCATACGACACGCTGCCTCTTGCTGAGATGTCATCAGTAACAAGAAAAGATACTGAAAGACAACCGAGGCATACCTATCCCAGTGAAACCTTTGTCACTGACAGACCTATCTCAACCACCACAGCACTTCATCGCTCTTCAAAGTCACTTCATACTGGAAGGAAACCAGTAAAGAACGGAAAACAAGAGATGTTTGAAATAAAGGTGAACGTCGGGGACCCACAGTCAAACCTGATGTATTTCAATGAGAATAAGAAGAATGCTTCCCACAGTGTCTCAACAAACTTCAAAAATGTATTCATTCAAAACCAACCTTTTGGTCGACCAGTAAGCAATTCGGCTGTCACCGCTGAAGCTCCCCGCAGCAGTCAGGAAAGTGTTCTTCAAGAAGGTGGTGATCGCAGCAATGCATCACATCCAACTGCAAGCATGAGCTTGACTGATGCTTATGATGCAAAAACACCCTTCAGCCTTAGTAGGTCAACCACTTCAGCAGTCACAAATCCTGAGTCTAAGCATCTGACAGGAAGAACTGACTCTTTGATCTCTGAATTGAGGAGCCAAACGCTAGCTAAACCAAGCTCTCACACTGAAGAGCCTGTATTGACTTTGTTAGCGAAGGATTCTGCCATCCACTTTGCATCTCTTACCACAAAGAGAAACTTGGCAGATAAGCAAGCTTCTCAGACGTTTAACACTGTACGCAGCATTGCTAAGCAGTCTTTTGTTGATGCCTCAGGACCAGCGAATAAAGAACCGCAAACTCCAGCCTTTACAACCAGAAAACTTACGCCTGTGATGTTGTTTCTCGCAGGATCGAGACAGGCCTTTGCAGATGACGTGTCTGTGGTGGAGCTAACGACACCGTCAAGCAAGTCGTTATCTAAGAAAGTGACAAGGACAACAATCATTCAGGAAAAGACTCTTGATGTTAACAATGATAAGCCCGTGGCACCAACACGGCAATCTTTAGCAAAATATAATGGCCATTTAATCAAAGAGCCATTAACAGTCCACAAGCTGAAGCTGGAAAATAGAGATGAACAGGTGTTCACTACAGTTGCAGAAAATGAGGACAAAGACCTGCTCCA